CCTCTTTATCTGGATAAGGGTTACTTTGTAAGAGAAATCAAATTGTAAGAAGACAACTTTTGCTAGAAAGAATCCATACTTTTCTATTTGGACCATGTTAAATAATAATCTCCTCAAAGAAAGCATTGAGACAGTTGGGTAAAATATGAAAAAAAAGGAAGTGACTGCATATTTCAGTTTTGAAAAGTGAAAATAAAATATTTTATATAATAAAGTAAATATATGAATATAAGTATAATAAATTATTTAATAGAACATTGTATTTTATATATATGCAAGAATAAATTTAAGTATTATACCTACAGACCACCTGCTATAAAAATATTTTGCTTTCTGTTACATGGTTAGTATTTTCTAGTCTCATGTTATTGAACTTTCAAAGTATACTATTTACATATTGACATGAAGTGTTTGAGTAGAAGTGGACTTTTTATGTAAAAACAAAATAGTGAATTTAAAAGGGCTAGTTAAGCATGTTATCAAAAAATATAGTTTTGAAAAAATAAAATATTCAAATATGCAATATGAGGTGCAAAGATTGATCTTCAGTAACTATAAAACCAAGTGGTTGATTTTAAATGTCACATATTTTTGAAGATATTTATAATTGTTAATTTATGCCATATTATTTTAAATTATAAGCTATCTTTTTGTGATTATTTTTAATTAAAACGTTTTAATATATATATTAAATAATTGTAAACAACATACAAAGCTAATAGTGTTTATAAAGAATTATTATAAATTATAAACAATGCAAAGGATATTTCAAAGTTAGTCTCTTCACAAACACCAGAAAATCCAGCAAAAATGTAATGTTTAATAAGATATATAACTGTTTTAAACAAATAAGATAAATGCTACATTTTTTCAGGATTTTCTGATGTTTGTGAAGCGATATCTCATCCAGTTATTTTGGGTAATTGCTTATTGCCAAGTGATTTGAAGTATCAGAATTGAATAGGAAATCAGGTACAGAATCCATAATACATAATACATATGTATAAATACAATAGAATTTGCTTATCGTAATTTTATTTTGGGTTATAGTTATCATTATCTTCAGATTAATATATATTTTTAATTCTATGAAAAACCAACTGGATGAAAAATAATAACATTAATGAATTCATTTTTTAAATTCCAGCAACATAAATTTATTTTGAACAGATTTTTCTAGCCATGTTTAACAGCTTTTTTTTGAGTTGTTGTTTCCTCTCAAGAACAAACTAGTATTCATTATATATCAATATAGATCATAAAATCAAATGCTGTATTCCTGATATTGAATTTATTATCATTTTAATTTATAACATTTTGGATTACAGTAATGCATTAAAATTGACATAAAATTTAATAGTACATCTCAAAATCAATATATTTTTTTCCAGTATAGCAAATATATTTAAGATATCATTTGAACTTCATTCATAATTAACTCCTTTTATTCCAATAATTCAAATTAAATAACACGCTTTACTATAGAACTTTAAAAAATAATTTTTTAATACTTTTGAGTTTTCTTGTCTTTAAAATCTGGAATAATGAAGATTTTTTCACGTGTATGTATAATGAATTCATTCATTGTCTGATGAACAATGATGGTGATGACTCTTCAGAAAAACTAGTTTCAAACTACTCATAACAAATTTAGTTAGTTTATTTATGTTATGTTTGCAAACATACTTAGTTTACAAAGGAGTATTATTACTATAAAATCAAGCTGTTTCTTCTTAGAGGAGCGTGAGAAAGGAGTGGAAGTTGCCCTGAACTAACAGAAGGGGTATTAATTTTCAGAGGCACTACAATCCTAACTGTTGATTAGGATATACCAGGTGTATCTATTGTTACTTTTCTGTGACATGTGATCAATCTTTGAGAAGGGAAATTTTTCTAATTTTCTCTAACTTCTAATGAAGTCTTGGGTTCCTCTCAATCCCTGTTGGGTTCCTCAATACTCTCATATTTCAACAGTACCACTGATGACCTATTTCCTCAACCCTTCCACTTCAGATTTCTTTTTCTTGAATCAGTAAGTTTCTTTTTCTCTTCTGACTTCTCTCCCTATTTAATTTAGATGGTCCAACCAAAATGAGGGTCAGAAAGCCTGCTACATGATGGGATATCATATGTCTTAATTATGGTTAAGTGCAAAATGGATGCAAATACATCTTTCTTTGGAAGGATTAATGATAATGATTATCTGTTATTGCCCTGCAATAAACTGTTTCAATCCACTCTTTGTTTTTCATCTTTTAGGATTAATTCGGTTTAACAGATCAAGATTTAAAAAAAAGATTAAAACAATTAAATCGTTTGACTCTGACAAGAATTGAAATATGATATTTTGATAAGAAAATGAAAAATTTGTTAATATATTCTGTCACAACTAAGCTGATAGTGACGTAAATGACATGACATCACAAAAATCACAGTGATAAGTGAATTATCGAAAAACACCAATATACTTACACACTATATAGTTCCATCAAAAAATTCATTTACAGCAGTCCTTGCATTATGAAATTATTTACAATAAGCAATATAGAAAGGGTGTTATAAACATTCAAAATAAGCTTTCTTTTACCATTTACTTTTCCTGTGCTTGGTAAACAATACTTTGCTCTCAGCAATGTTGAACAGAACTAAATTTCCACTTCCTCATGATTTGAGTGTTTATTACTGTGTACTTGTTTTTAGTTTTGTACGTTAGTTTTAAAATAAACAAAGTATTATTATGTTGCTTATTGTGAATAATTTCATAATGTAAGGACTTCTGCAAATGAAAATTTTGACGGAACTATATTGTGTAAATATATTGGCATTCTTCAGTAGTTTACCTATCACGGTGATTTTTGTGACATAATGTCGTCTATGTTACTATCAGCTTAGTTAAAAATAAGAAAAAAGTGAACTTTTAAGAAATTTGCAGGATATTCTGGGTTAATACAGATGGATCCCAGGATCCCATTAGAGAAATCCTAGTTAGTAAATGTAATTATGATTCTCAATCACTGTGCCATGGCACTTTAGTGTGCTGCAAGATTTTTGAAGTGTGTTGTGCCGCCACTGCGAATACTGATACATAAGTGACATCAGACAACTAGTTCAATCAGTTCTACTTTCCTAGGGCGCATTTGGTAATTGTAACTGGTGTTACCAGTAACTGCCTGTAGTTACCAAGGCATTTAGAAAACATGACCTAAATAACCAACGGCATTTAAAAATCACTTATAATGTCACCGGTTGTCCTGTGGTATTTAAAGTAACCATGTGTGGCGCGAAATTTTTAAATTATTAAAAGTGTACCGTGACAAAAAAAAGGTTGAGAATCACTGAGACAGAGTATAGCTGAAAATTTTTAAACCATAGAAATAGAACAAACAAAATAATAGACAATATTAAAAGTCAACATAAATCTTAAATACAAACTTAAAAATCTTTAAAAATAATTATTCTGAATGTTTATTTGATTACAGTTATTTTAAATTTCTTTATTCTGAATGCATTGCATAGTTTTATGTAAAAATTACTATGGTGTTTCTGAAAGCTTTTGATTTTTGCTTATTTCAAAAGTAATTTAATTATTTATGTTTAGATTGGTAATTGTCTACAATTAGGATTATGTATCTCTCCTTTTCTTCAATGTTCAAAATGTTTTCTCCTTCATTATCTCAACACAAGCTTTTATAAAAAACATTCTTAAGATTTGTCCTCTCATCTTTAGTCATTGAATAAGTTTGAAATTTTGTATTATTATTCTCTAAGAAACATTTATTTGATGACTAATTTAAAAAAAAAACAAAAGTAATCTTAAAAAGTTTTACTTATAGAATAATGTACATTTTTCTCTTAATAATTCATTTTAATGGAAAATTTAGATTCTGTTAGTTAAATTCTGTTATTTAAATTAGAAAATTATGATTTCATGAAAGATTATATAGTACAGGTATCCTTCATACAACACTGTTTTGCTCTAACACAGCTTTTGAAATTATCTGTACCAAATTTCACAATTTTTAAATGTAAACTGCATTATTTTAATTTTTTTTTTCAAGCAAGCATGCATGTTGTCTCAAATTTGCCCATGGATTTTAGAATATTGAAATTTTCAATTTTTTTTTGTGCCTTTCACCAGGTTTACTTTAATGTGAACTAATAGTACAATTTTTTTCTACCTTATCCTAGCTTTCCTATCAACTGGGTGTCATTGTCATTGCCTTCAGATTTTAGCCTTTAAGACTGTCACTGTGTTTTGTTTTTATGGATTAATCTTTCTATTTAGTAAAGTTTATTTAAACATTTTTAGATAAGTGCTATTAAACTTTTTTAAACTGTAGGTAAGCAATCACTTGTAAAATGATGAAAGAAATACGGCAGTATCTTGGTGCTCAAACAATTCAGTATTCAAACACAAATTCTGGAAAAAGTCACTCTGTACTCAACTGAACAAACATGACTCTCTAGAACAAATTTTTTATTAAAAACATATTTTTACTTCATAATTCTAAAAACTTTAATGATAAAAACAAAAAATATGAAAATGTTGCTGATACTTCTGATCAAGATCAACAAAAAAGCTGAGATGACAACAATACTTTGTAAAAAAAAAAAAGCCTATGTTCAACTAAAATTAATATTATCACATAATATGGTACTTTTAATAGCGATTGTTAATTAATTATTGATTGGGAATAAATTATCAATTGCTTTAATCAACATGTTTCTCTTAGTTATGAAAGAGAATAGTATACTTTTGCGAACTTCTAGAACATAGCCCTATGTTTTGCACTAGTCCTTTGTTTTGTATAACACAAATTTGCATAAAACAGCACTTTCTGGAACGTAACTACTGTTATATGTTATAATACCCATAATTATCTACAGTTAATGTAAGCATAAAATTTTTGAAGTAAACATTAAAATTTTATTACAGATTTTTATTATAAGTATAGTAAATACTGTTTGCTGAATTTTTTAAAATAAATTTTCAAATTTAGGATCATCCATTTTTAAAGAAATTTAAGAAATTAAATGAAGCTTTGGTTGGTGTCATAGAAGATTACAGTTTAGTATCTTTTATTCCTCTAAATATTAAGGTAAGTGTTAATATAAGTATTTTAATAAAGATCTGAAGATTTATATCTAAAAAGTAAAATACTTTATTTATTTAGTTAGTTTATTAGAAAAAATAAAAATGGAACAGAAATGATTGCTAATATAAACCACAATAAAATTATTATAGTTTGGCATTTACTTTTAATTAAATACATCTAGTTTATTAAAAAATTCTAGAACATTTATAGATAATTTTTTCATTAACAAGATTTTATGAAAAAATTCAGCAATGAGTTGTTAACTTTCCTAGCAACATTTCATGGCACCATCTGTTGTTATATTTTATTAAAAATTTTATATTTTTAATTCTTATAAATTGGCAGAAAGCTTAATTTTGAGGACAGGGATGGGTTTTATAAAAAAATTGTAAATGCTAATAAGAAGTACAATCATCATCAAGTTTGACTCTACTCAAGATATGACACAACTTCCTTTATCTCTCCATCCCATCAGCCTTTAACCACCAAAATTTAATAGCATCAATCCCCCTAATAGGCAAACCTTCCTGATAAATTTCAGAAATTTTCAACAAAAAGCACAGGCACTATTAAGCTTCAAAGAGGGTGAACGAAATTGTGCCCTCCCACACACACTAACATCCATACTAGGGTTTCTCATTTCCCGGTCTTTTGCTTGTCCCGGGTTTCCGGGATAAAAGTGAACTGTTTCCCGGGAAATCGCTGGACAGAATTAATTATTTTTAACCACTCAGCAGTGAAGGACAGATATATCCATCCAGGGCGATCGTATGACAGTGGTGAAGGATGGATATATTTGTTAAATTCTTTTGGGGTATCGCCAAAAACTACCACAAAAAAAATTCACCTAAAAAATTAATTATGTAACAATAAGAAAAGACTTTTCTTTACTAGACATAACTGTTTACAAAATCTTTTTCTGAAACAGTAATGAGAAAAAACACATGAAAAATTAGTTTAAAAATTTCCCACGTTTATTCTCCACTACTGTGGGTAGAACCATATCTGACTAGTCCACTGTTGTTAAGATAAACAAAATATCATGAAATTAAATGATTTAATTATTATTCATTTTTTAAAGTAATTTAATATGTTCTGCAACCTCCAAAATTATATTAATAATGTTGTGTAAGATACATATTAAAAATTACCTTTGAATTAAGTAGAAATTTTCACAAATAGAAAAAATTTATTAAAGTTTGCTGGAAACTGCATACAACAACAACAACAACAAAATGCTTTGAATTGAGTTGAAAATTTAAAAAAAAATGAATCCAGATGAAACTTCTTAAGACTTTAAGACTTAGAAGGTAATTTTCGTTTTTTAAATAAAACATAATACAAAATATTATTGTAAATTTTTATAATAAGATTTTAAAAAGCAAAGATGGTCAATACTTCGATTAGTCAATCTGATTCTTATTTTAGTAATGAAAAGTCCTGCTACCGAGAATGCCCTTTCCGATTTAATTGATGTTAGTGGAATCATCATTAATGCGTTTAAGAGAAGACAGATGTTATATGTTTTTTTCACTTGTAGCCTGGAAGATTTTGAGTTCATTTTTGAGATTGTAGTACTTCTTTTGCTCTCTAGTATTCTTGATTTGTCTACCTTGTCTGCTTTAATAGTGGCATCAAGCTTATAGCCTGATAATTTGGCAATTTATTTGGCTTTAATAATCAGGTTTATGAAGAAAAATTTCATACTTGCAGACTTTGTATTTATTTGTATCCTTGCCCAATTTGCACAACTTGGCATAATGCAGTTATTGAAGCTACTGGGCATGGTTAAAAATTAAGACAGCGTAAGCACAATTATTCCAAATATTACAGGTTCCGACAAGTAAAGAATTTTCAGAGTCCTGCCACAAATAAGCTACATACTGATTATTGACCATTTGTGACATGCCATAATGAGGAAAAATTAAAAAAACTAATAAGTAGGTTTAAAATTAATAAATACAAATGTACAGTAGAGCCTCGATTATCCGACTCAATTGGGGACTGGGGTTGGTCGGATAATTGAAAAGTCGGATAACCGAAAAGTATGAAAAAATCCATTATTAGTGTAGTATATTATTATATCCAATGTAATTAGTATATTAGTATATCGCCATTAACCTACTTCGCGTTGAATTTTCATCGCTGTTAAGCCTAACAAAAGTTTTTTAAAATAATAATCGTCGCTATTGTATCGTTAAAAATTAGAAAATTAAGCCTCGTTTAAATACTGGCTCCCTTTCATGGTCGAATGAGTGTTGCCAGCTAAAACACGTAAAAATAATATTAAAGTAGCCAAGACATAGCCAAATATTGTAGCGCCACATCACTAGCGGACATTTGAAATTTGNTTTCAAACTACTCATAACAAATTTAGTTAGTTTATTTATGTTATGTTTGCAAACATACTTAGTTTACAAAGGAGTATTATTACTATAAAATCAAGCTGTTTCTTCTTAGAGGAGCTTGAGAAAGGAGTGGAAGTTGCCCTGAACTAACAGAAGGGGTATTAATTTTCAGAGGCACTACAATCCTAACTGTTGATTAGGATATACCAGGTGTATCTATTGTTACTTTTCTGTGACATGTGATCAATCTTTGAGAAGGGAAATTTTTCTAATTTTCTCTAACTTCTAATGAAGTCTTGGGTTCCTCTCAATCCCTGTTGGGTTCCTCAATACTCTCATATTTCAACAGTACCACTGATGACCTATTTCCTCAACCCTTCCACTTCAGATTTCTTTTTCTTGAATCAGTAAGTTTCTTTTTCTCTTCTGACTTCTCTCCCTATTTAATTTAGATGGTCCAACCAAAATGAGGGTCAGAAAGCCTGCTACATGATGGGATATCATATGTCTTAATTATGGTTAAGTGCAAAATGGATGCAAATACATCTTTCTTTGGAAGGATTAATGATAATGATTATCTGTTATTGCCCTGCAATAAACTGTTTCAATCCACTCTTTGTTTTTCATCTTTTAGGATTAATTCGGTTTAACAGATCAAGATTTAAAAAAAAGATTAAAACAATTAAATCGTTTGACTCTGACAAGAATTGAAATATGATATTTTGATAAGAAAATGAAAAATTTGTTAATATATTCTGTCACAACTAAGCTGATAGTGACGTAAATGACATGACATCACAAAAATCACAGTGATAAGTGAATTATCGAAAAACACCAATATACTTACACACTATATAGTTCCATCAAAAAATTCATTTACAGCAGTCCTTGCATTATGAAATTATTTACAATAAGCAATATAGAAAGGGTGTTATAAACATTCAAAATAAGCTTTCTTTTACCATTTACTTTTCCTGTGCTTGGTAAACAATACTTTGCTCTCAGCAATGTTGAACAGAACTAAATTTCCACTTCCTCATGATTTGAGTGTTTATTACTGTGTACTTGTTTTTAGTTTTGTACGTTAGTTTTAAAATAAACAAAGTATTATTATGTTGCTTATTGTGAATAATTTCATAATGTAAGGACTTCTGCAAATGAAAATTTTGACGGAACTATATTGTGTAAATATATTGGCATTCTTCAGTAGGTTACCTATCACGGTGATTTTTGTGACATAATGTCGTCTATGTTACTATCAGCTTAGTTAAAAATAAGAAAAAAGTGAACTTTTAAGAAATTTGCAGGATATTCTGGGTTAATACAGATGGATCCCAGGATCCCATTAGAGAAATCCTAGTTAGTAAATGTAATTATGATTCTCAATCACTGTGCCATGGCACTTTAGTGTGCTGCAAGATTTTTGAAGTGTGTTGTGCCGCCACTGCGAATACTGATACATAAGTGACATCAGACAACTAGTTCAATCAGTTCTACTTTCCTAGGGCGCATTTGGTAATTGTAACTGGTGTTACCAGTAACTGCCTGTAGTTACCAAGGCATTTAGAAAACATGACCTAAATAACCAACGGCATTTAAAAATCACTTATAATGTCACCGGTTGTCCTGTGGTATTTAAAGTAACCATGTGTGGCGCGAAATTTTTAAATTATTAAAAGTGTACCGTGACAAAAAAAAGGTTGAGAATCACTGAGACAGAGTATAGCTGAAAATTTTTAAACCATAGAAATAGAACAAACAAAATAATAGACAATATTAAAAGTCAACATAAATCTTAAATACAAACTTAAAAATCTTTAAAAATAATTATTCTGAATGTTTATTTGATTACAGTTATTTTAAATTTCTTTATTCTGAATGCATTGCATAGTTTTATGTAAAAATTACTATGGTGTTTCTGAAAGCTTTTGATTTTTGCTTATTTCAAAAGTAATTTAATTATTTATGTTTAGATTGGTAATTGTCTACAATTAGGATTATGTATCTCTCCTTTTCTTCAATGTTCAAAATGTTTTCTCCTTCATTATCTCAACACAAGCTTTTATAAAAAACATTCTTAAGATTTGTCCTCTCATCTTTAGTCATTGAATAAGTTTGAAATTTTGTATTATTATTCTCTAAGAAACATTTATTTGATGACTAATTTAAAAAAAAAACAAAAGTAATCTTAAAAAGTTTTACTTATAGAATAATGTACATTTTTCTCTTAATAATTCATTTTAATGGAAAATTTAGATTCTGTTAGTTAAATTCTGTTATTTAAATTAGAAAATTATGATTTCATGAAAGATTATATAGTACAGGTATCCTTCATACAACACTGTTTTGCTCTAACACAGCTTTTGAAATTATCTGTACCAAATTTCACAATTTTTAAATGTAAACTGCATTATTTTAATTTTTTTTTTCAAGCAAGCATGCATGTTGTCTCAAATTTGCCCATGGATTTTAGAATATTGAAATTTTCAATTTTTTTTTGTGCCTTTCACCAGGTTTACTTTAATGTGAACTAATAGTACAATTTTTTTCTACCTTATCCTAGCTTTCCTATCAACTGGGTGTCATTGTCATTGCCTTCAGATTTTAGCCTTTAAGACTGTCACTGTGTTTTGTTTTTATGGATTAATCTTTCTA